ATAAGAAAAATTCACGTAGCATCATTGTAATACCTTGTATTTTTGCCTCCACATCGATCTCGGCACTTTGGTCTTGGTTTATTCTCTTAAAAACAGGAAGAAGCATGCAGATCAAATAATGAAAATCTAACACCTTGTCCACTATGTTTTTGTCCCTAAGAATCTCCTGAGTCATGTTATTGTTTGTAATTAAGCAGAACATCAGATATTGGCGTGGATAAATGCAAGCACTGCATCAAAAATGAGGCGTTTCAGATGATATCAGACCTTACATTCAGTCACTCTACATTGATTCACTGAACAGATCTTGCAGCCACAAGTTCCACAACACACAGGACAAGCTATATGAACTTCATCTTGCTTAGAAAAATACCTGCATGCAGTATGACAACATAATAGTTAATCAACATCAATGTTTTAACTCCAACCAAATGGTTCGAATCCAATTCAAACTAAACAGATGATACAAGCCAGAATGGGAAAGTATACTCCAAAAATACTAGTTCAGGAAGTTCCATGTGAGAAACTACGTGAACAACTTCTAGAGGCCGAAACAGGTACTTTACAATCACAATTTAAACAGAACTAAAAGGGGTAAAAGATCACGCACTGTTCTTTTATGCAATCCAAGCAAAATAACTGCTCTTTACAACTGGAACACTTGATCAAATTAGAAGCACCACCCTTTCTACACCAATGGCACCTTATTCTTCTCCCTCTCCTCAAATTTGTCCCATTCTTCTTACATGGCAGAAACTTCATTAGGGGAGGGGATACCCCACAATTCAAAAAGAACCAGAAGAAATTAACTAAAAAATGGCAAACTGAAACCAAATATATATACCTGCAATGTACCAACAGGTAATCGCTGAACGTTCTTAGATCTAAACCGCCTTCCAGTCATTGCAACAGTATTAGTTTCAGTTTCTCCTACTTTAACATTAATACATGGAACTGAACCCGAACATGAACCTGCGTTATCAAAATGTGGACTTGAAGAAGAAATAGCCATCAACCCATTAGGCAATTCTCTCATCAAGTTAGCTATTTCTTCTTCTTCTTCATCATCATCTTCATCAAAGTCACTACAATCACTTTCTTCTCGTTTCTTCTTATTCTTCTCAGCTTCTCTTTTCAAAACCATTCTTATAAGCTCCAATGGCAAATTCCCTCTTTTCAGCTTCATCTTACGAACAGCTTCGTCCAACGCCTCGGGTTCACCTCCGATCACACGCTTCCGCTTCATTGGTCTCGCTAATTTCAGCAACTTTGCCCTAATTTCGAGCTTGTTCTTCTCAAAGGCGTTCTTTATCCTCTTTTTCCGTTGCATCTTCATGGATTCGGGCACTTTCTGTTTCTTCTGCCGGATAGAGCCTTGGACATAGTGAAGCTCGCAAAGCTTTTTCCCTTCCATTACTCGTCGCTTGCACCGCCATTGTCTCCCGTCGGTTCGATTGCACCGGAGATGGTCCGGTGTAGCACCTTCTTCCTCCATTCCCTCTGTTTGGCTGATTTTTCCAGTAAAAAGCGAATCTTTTCCCCGAAAAAACAATGGGATTCTCGAGAGAGAAAAAAACAGAGAAAACGATCTGGGTTTAGATTAGAAAGAGGAGAATGCTGGTTTTTGGAATGGACGGAGTTAAGGGTTTATTGGGAGTAGTGGAGCTGAAAGAGTGAAAAAGAAAGCGGCAGATACGGTAATTTTGAGGAAATATAAAGTCCTGTTTAGCCCGGGTAACTTTCCAAATGGTGCAAGGAGAGGAAGCTTTGATCGGGAAGCTTGACAGTTTGAGACAATTAAGGGGGAGACTCTCTTTGGGTTTTTTCTCAAAATTGCATCTTTTTGGAGTTTTTTTTTACTATTAAGCATTAAGTGAGATATTTATTGCTGGTATTATTTGTGTGAAATCATATTAAGAAACAATATGAATGTTGCAGAATTTGAGCATGCACCAGTTGATTATGGCCATTGCCAATTGCAGTAAGCGGTTTGAATCTGCAGCATTGTAATAAGCAGTTTGTGCAATCCTTCAGTATTCGGTAGCGTCGACGGAGATATCGAACTTTCCACTCGACCCGACAAAAGTTGTTAGTGCTGCTGCACAATCTACATATTGTTTTTACATATCGTATCATAGATGTCCTTGTCTGAGAGAGCATTGCAATCAGATAATGCTTCGAACAATCCTTTTTCAATCTCATTCTATATCAGATCATGAAGCAGAAAGCAACCATTCAGTTTGTAAAGCCGAGAAATCGAAATTTTCGAGTCGGATTTGAAAATAACTTGTGGTCAATCCGATCAGCTGTGTTCTTTCAACAATGGCTCTTTCTTCTTTGCAAAATATCATTTAAATTTGCAGCATAATGATTCCCATCCTATAGACTTTGCCTCCTGCAGCATGGTTTTTGTACCAAGTTGTGATCAACAGCATGAAAACATAGCAGGATTTGATCAAGTTCAGTGCTGGCATATTCGTCTATAAAATGGCCGACGCTGCACTCCACGATGTCTCTTTCATCTGAAATCTCTAATTGTTTGCTTCAGCTGGCAGTAGATCAAGGCAACTTGGACTATCCACCCAACATTAGATGCACATGAATTGCAGAGGAGCCAAGGTTACATACAAGTTGCAGAACACTTAAACTACGAATTTGATTAGTTATAAAACTGGACGCTACAGCGTCTCCCTTTGACATCTTGGTTCGATCGAGAGGCTTCGGGTTGTACCGGAATCTTACTGCATTTAACCCGGGCAAGAAGAGGATACAAGGAAATCAAAGGGCAAACGATTTACTGCAAATGACCATGATTACAGCGACCTTGTAGTTGTAGTAACCATCATTTTAATACTAATTGAGCAGCATACATACAAATAGAAAGCCCAACGGGCACATTCTTTTGCTTCCAAATACTATGGCTTAAAGCCCAAGTGTATAAGGCTAAAAGCCCAAATAACCAAACAGGCTACAAGGCTCAACCATAAGTAACAAGTACTAATCACAGAGTAAAACTCGATTGGATTTAAAAAAATAAATTTTACTTTAAATTTCAATTTAAGTAAGATATTTTTAAAATTATTTGAGTCAAATTTAAATTTGTACAATTTAATAATTAAAAAAAGTTATGATGTTATTAAGGTCTTCAACCAATTAGTTTGATTTTTACGATTTAATCTATGATAACTCTTTCAATTTTGTATTTTATTCAATTAAGTATTATGATTATAACTAGTGGCAGATCCAGAGCTTTCCGAGGTTGGGCACGTGTCCACTTTATAATTTGAATTTTTCGGTTAATTATCTATTTTATTGATGGTGTCCGTCTTGAAATTTTATTTGTGCTCGTTCTATTAAAAAAAATTATTACTAACGTATATTTGTCAACCTCAAAAATATTTATAAACTCGTCGATAATTATAACTTTTACCAATATTTTCTTCTCATAATTTTTAATTAATTTATATCTATTAATATTTTATTCTCAAAATCCTTTCTAGCTCTTCTTGCGGCAACTGACGAGCTATTCCCATTGCAGTTTGTTTCCTTTGAAACATCGGTTTTGTGTGAATATTTGAAAAACATCAGCATATTTCAAACTCTTGACCTTAATTAAAGTATATCGAGCTTTTTACTTACTCGACTTAATGAATGAATGCTATAATTCTGCAGGAGAATGTGTTAAAATGCTTTAATGCAATGCTAGGGAGCGAATCCATTGTCGATACGGTGTTGAGCTCGAGTGAAAGAACCCCAGTAAGTGTTTTGGACCGCCCCTGCACCAAATCGGAAATCACAACAAGCACCATGGATGCTGCCATTGCAACAGTGCCTGAAAAGAGAGACAGCAAGCGTGGTCGTAAATTCGTTGGATATTGCAGTGAAAGTAAAAGGGTGAAGATTTCCCAGATTCAACCGTGTGGATAAAAAGTTTTCACCCAGATTCCACACCTACGATATCACCAAGCCCTCTTTTTCACCATTTTTCTTTGACAGTTTGACTAAAACCTGAAAAACAAAAATTAGATAATCCTTTTTGTTTAATGTGTTTTATTTTTTTAAATGTAAACGAGGGGGCAGCTGTTGAACAAGGATCATGAACGACAAAACTCGGTTTCAAATGTTTAAAACATTGTTACTTGTCTATGTTTATGTCGTGTTGTTTTGTTCAGATAGGTAATAGAGCAATGCTTCATTCAATAAGACATTAAAATATCTCTATTTAGACTCCGAGACACAAAGACATCAATTTATTATCACAAGTGTAAAGGAAGACCGGAAAGAAGACACACTCTACATAGAAATTACAAAGAATTAGCGGGGGATATGAGAGAGAAGTTCCAGACTCAGGCAACGTTTAAGGTACGTTGCTGTCTTAAAGATTTTGGCATCTTTGTCGAGAAACCAACACAATTTTATATGCTTGGAAAGCTCCCCAATGGGGAAAGAAGTAACTATGTCTTTATGTTTTGGGGTGATTGAGGAATTGAGAAGCTCAAGAGAAACATGACACTCAAAGGTTCTTTAAGTTTTGTTTTTCTTTTAAGCCGTCCAATATCGTTCCCATACCTCTAAAGACTTGATTGATGAGAATAATATCGACTTGTGTTCGTGAAGCCAGTTGTAAAATGTCAGAACTTTGATCCAAAGACCCATGCCCAAATCTCATGCGCAGCTTTTAATCTGTATAATGTTGTTTCTGCCATTTCTGTACCTATGAGGTCTATTTCATAAATTCTTGGGTTTGTTTTTTCCTGTGAAGATTACAAATTTCATCACCTGTTAAGGAAACCCTTTTGATTTCATGACTAATGATAAAGTTGCATGAAATCATTCACTCATGATCTATCAACAACTTAGCATAAATTTCATATCGAAAACTTTGCCTATATGGGTTGGTTTAGTTTGCTGAGAATCGTTAGTACCGTGACAGGCACTAGGACCCGAGTCTCACCGGTAACCACATTTTGCAGGCGATAGGTCAGCTGCATGCCCTGACCCTGAATTGGGATAGCTCCCTTACCTAAACTTTCACAAATAGAGAAAATGGAATAACGAAGCTTCAGTCTTTGTTGCTACAAGATACACGAACAACGTGGAATTAAGAGCTAACATCCATTCAATGTCAATGCCACAGTCTACAGCAATGCACAATATCATCTATCAACATCAAATGTGCGCGGAAGGCAATGAGCTAGAAATTAGAGTTGAAAAAGAGATTAGTTGAGCCAAACAATGAACCAATGGATCCCTTAATGTTTGGCTTTCTTCGATTTCGAATGGAGGATTCGAGCTCGATGAAGGTAAACCGTAGGTAGAAATTGCACTATAGCTTTCCAGAATTGATGGTCTTGGAATATTGTCGGTAGGATTTGAGCTGGGTGAAACTATTTTGATTTGTTTCACTGGATGGCTCTGAAGGTTCACTCTCTGGCAATGCTTCAGGTCATACTTAAAACGTTTTCTCAAGTGAGCATGCCAATGGTTTTTAATCTCATTGTCAGTTCTTCCGGGCAGCCTTGATGCGATCGCTGACCATCTGCAAAATTTACCATATTTCTATCAATAGAGGAAAATCCAGCAATATTTGTCTAAAAAAACAAAATTTGCGTTTACCATTGCTTTTGACTGCCCAAAAACAATGCTAAAACAAAGAGCCTTCGCCCTCCAAAAATACTTCTAGAAACTACTTACGGAATCAGGAAACTGTCTGCTTAATGCTTTACAAACACACTTTTCAAAAACACTTTCCAAACTGCATGAGCAATCCTGATTGTAAATTCAGCATTGCCTTCCGCTTTTCAAAAGAACTTTTGATGGCAAAAGCAAAGCTAAACAAAGGGCTTTTGCCCTCTGAAATCTATCTTCCATCAGAAGTAACTGCTCAAACTCTTTTACAATCATATAATTTCTCGAAGTCTCGAACTTTCGAATTCCAAGTGTGTTTAGCACTGTTTTTCACCGTCCAAAAGCACTTTCTGAAAGCAAAAGCAATGTTAAACAAATGGCTTTTGCCCTGAAAAATAGTTTTAGAAACTGCCTTCGGAACCAATAAATTTGAAACCGGCTGCCAGATTATTCAACCACAAGAGCAATCCAGATTTCGGGTATATTGACCATTGCTTTTGGCTTTTCAAAGACATTTGATCACAAAACAATGTTAAACAAAGGATTTTTCCCAACAAAATACATTTAGAAAGTGCTCTAAAGTATCCCTTGTATCTCTAAAACTACCAATTATGAACAATCATAACTATTTCCACAAGAAACATTTGACCAAGTGCAATCCAGAGTATTTAGCATTGCTTTTGGCTTTTCAAAATCACTTTTCGACCGCAAAACAATGCTAAACAAAAGATTTTTCCGACAAAATAATTTTTGAGAGAGCTTTGGGAGTCAAACAGAGAAACTAGCTGCTGTGTGCTTTAGAAAAAAACACTTTTTAACCGCACTTTTCAATGCAACACCGATTCTACAGTATCCCTATAAATCTAAAACTACTAATTATGAACAATTGTAACTATTTCCACAAGGAACATTTGATTTGTAGGTTCATGTATCAATCCCTTTCTCTCAAATTCCTAAAATCCCCACATCTTTCTTTCAAACTCCAAAGATCTTAATACAGATTTCATCTCCGAAAACCATTGATAAGTTGCAGAAATTTACCTGTTTCCAAGCTTTTCATGCAAATCAATTATTGTTTGCTCTTCTTCCTTTGTGAAATTACCATGCTTAATTCCAGGCCTTAAGTAATTCACCCAACGAAGCCTGCAACTCCCTGACCTTTGCAATCCTACAGAGTAAACAAAATACATTAAAAAAATTGTAAAATCACAAATAAATAAATACATCCAAAGGGGTATTGCTGTTTAGCTTAATCCACCTGCTGGTTTAGCCATCTCAGCCCAGTTCCAAATCCCATATCTCTTAATATAAGCAGTCAATTTGCGGTCTTCTTATCCACCTGCTGGTTTAGCCATCTCAGCCCAGTTCCAAATCCCATATCTCTTAATATAAGCATCAATTTGCGGTCTTCTTCAGGACTCTCCATGCCCCTTTATAGAAAGCATCGATTTTTGGTTAAAAAAAGGCCAGTATTTTTTGTAAAGGGTAATGACAAAAGACACAGCGTGCGTGGTCCATTAATTTGTATGTCAAAGGGGGGCTGACATAAGGGTTAGGTAGTGAGGTTTGAGGCGTTACCAATTCATACTAAATAAAATCGTGGCTATTCAGTAACGTTTTCTTGCGAGGAAGTAGTTTATTTGTGAAACTGTTAAGTTGTCGGTTTCTCTCAACTGGAAACTGGATGGTTCCGGGAAGATGCGCACGGTGTCATGGCGAGACAGGAACAGAAATTGTATGAAACTCATGGTTTTTTTTTCTCTTTTTAGAAATTTGAGAATAGAAAAATAAATTGTCTTATAAAATTAAAAGAAATATATTACCTTAATCAATATAACGTTAGCAATAGCAATGTTTAAGTTAAGACTATCACAAACCAGATATAAGGATGAAGAGTATTAATATTGAGATTTAATTTTTTTTTCAGAACTCCATGTCCCTTTTCTCAAAGTTCTCTTAATAGAATCATGTTATCTTATGGTGACACGTTAATATCGTGATTAATTTTTAATGATGAATAATCAAAATAGAACTAAAACATAATGTTAAGTATAATTTTAAAAAAATAATAATTGAGTAACTAAAATAAAATTTAAATAATATGTGAGTGACCATAAATATTTATCCTATTTTTTAAATTATGTCTAACGTTTCATTTATTTTTTAGTCACTCACTATTAGATTTAATCTTTAACTTTACGAAATAATGATGTAACATATATAATACAGCTTTAATCCCAAATTATAAACCTCCTATCAATTTGGACCTGATTCAAATACTGTTAAGCTTACTATACCTTATTTCATCAATATATCAAATATTAATAGTTATATATAAGAAAAAGAGAACTAATCAAAGGAGAAAATGAAAATCCATGAAATAGTAACTGACATAACCCAACTCCCATCAGCCCAAATCAAAAGTCCAAAAAATCCAACCTAACGATATTTTCATTTTTTTAATTTGCTGATGATGTGACTTTTCATATAATCTAAAAATATCATTAAAATGATAAAAATCGATGCTCAATACTGATGTAGGCCAATAAAAAGATCAAGGACCAAGTTGAAAAAATTGATCAAGTTCAAGGATTAAAAAGTTGTTTTATCCCTTTAGAGAGCCCTCTACTTTTTTCTCCCCAGTTAAAAGAGTGCCCTCATTGGACCAGCAAGAAATTTAGATAGTCGGCACAAGTCTTGAATAGATAACAGGTTTATTCTTTCATTACAAAGAATACAGTTTTAGAAACATCAAATGCATTCATGATGTTTACTGATTTCCCGAATCACACAAGGTTTACCTGGGGAAATTAAGAACTAAGTGTGAAGTTTTCCTTTAATGCACATGGAAGAACCATCCCTGCAGGGTCTATGATCCGAGAAAGTACATTGTTCTTCAACCTGCTTGTTTCACGTGTTTCCGTCAAAGAATGAACTTTCAGCGATGTTTGTAATCCACCGATGTAGCTGATAACCGACGAGATTGTTGAATACGCAGCAGCTTCTCGCGTGTTCAAACTTTATTGCAGACGTTTAAACTATTATGCTGTAGCGCTCCGGAATCTTGATCGATATAGGAGGAGAACAGTGCAGCTCAAAGAATGCTTTGCTCCCTTCACCATTGATTCCTAGCGTATATCACCACGACCGTGCCATGCACCGTCTTGGACATTGTTCATCTCCAATGTTCTGGACTTCTGCTTCATGTTCAAAACAAGTGAAACTAAAGTCACATTTGATTTCGATCGTTAATGGTATCACGAATCAAAATGAAATAAGCAGAAGTTTCCAACAAAGTTGGCAAGGATAAGACCTGGGATTATGTACAGCAAGGGCAGATAAAGATGGTAGATGCAATCATCCAAGTTATCATTACCCTGCAAACAAACAATTCCCAAAAATGGTGTGATTTAGTACAATTACAACAAGAGTGTAAGATGATGTGCTCGGAATGAGGTCGAAATGCAGATAACTATCTGAATTCACTCGGAAATCTCGATGATGATGAATCGTGTAGTTGATGTTAGAAATTTGTTTTCTATATTGATTCATATAATTTAGTAATTGATAATTGTTGTTGTTGTACACACAATGATGATTAGTGTAGTATTGAGGAGGCAATTATCGGGTGTAAATCTCTCCGTTCCATACCGTGAAAATATAAGTTTGAGTGGTGTTATGTGTAACTGAAAAGTAGAGGGACCTTTCAATTATTTGTGATTTAAAAACATAGTGTAATCAGTTTTTTAAAAGCTCACGTAGCAGACAAGTTTTTTCCAAGACTCTCTATTTTTCTCTTAAAAAGAAAACAAAAGCATTCTCTGTTTTGGGGTTTTGATTTTTTCATCAAGAATCAAACAAGTCTTGATATCGTCACAAGACGAATTGAGGATTATACAATATAGAGATTGGATAACATTATTATTTCTTGCTTTTGGGATATTTAACTATCATAATGGAATCATCAAGTAAGTTTTCATTTATTTACTGTAATTCTTAATAATTATGCCATGAGCTTGATTTGGTTGATTTAATTACCATATCAAGATCCTTATGTGTTAATTGCTTCCGCATGCAAGATTTTTTTATAGGAATTAAATCACATTTATGTTTTCATAAGAAATGTAACATCTCAAAATCAGGGTTAGCTATTAAAATGTAAAATTTGAAAATTTTGTGCTCAATTTCGAAATAAGTTAAAAAGTTCAGGGATTTAATTGGATATAATGTGTGTAGGATTGATTAGTAAAGATGGAAAAAAGAAGGGTAAAATGGTCATTTGGCAAGAAAGATTTTTATATTTCCTTTTTGGACTATAAAACACGTGGATAATAGGATAAAAAGAAAAAGAATGGTATGAGACTTGGTTCTCTTCTCCCTTGTTGACGTGAGCTCCCTACATAAGTGAGTTTTGGTTAAATGATTATTTCTTGAGTTTTAAGCTTAGTTTTGATTTTTGGTGTATTAAGAAAGCTTAAGGAAAACTTAAGTTAATTCTAAATCAAAGAATGAAGTAGATATGAAGGATTAAAGATAAGGGTTTTTAAAATGAAATCTTAAGAAAGAGTTGATAAGGGGATTTTGAAACTAGATTTGACTTGTCAATAGTTGAATTAATAGATATGAAGTGATAGAATTAGAATTAGAACATGTTGAAAATTTGGTGTAATTCTTGATTTGCATATGGAGGATAGGATTTTGAGATTTAGGATGTATTGAATGAGTAGAAATTGGTTTAAATATGTATACTTGAGTTAAGTGTATGAAAGGGGTTCAAACATGAAGTGTTTGAGATGATAAGAGTAAATTTTCGGGCTTAAAAAGGAAAAATCTGGGCAAGGGGTATCGGTACCGACACTTCAAGAGTAAAATTAAGGAAGGCATTATGAGGTATCGATACCTGAAGAACATTATAGATACCAAGGGTACCGATACCTTAAGGACAATATCGATACCATCTTTGAAACAAAGATTACAAAATGCAAAATGGGTATCGATACCCAGATGGTACCGATACCTCATATGGGAAGTACCGATACCCTAGAGGGGGTACCGATACTATTTCATGAGAAAAATAGAATTAGATATTTCTTTAGCTTAAGATTTAAGGATTGAATTATAATACTTGGAATGTGTGATTGTGTAGATATTGAGCACAAGCAAGTTCCGGAACGTCAAACGTAGTTAGGATCGATCCAAGAGAGAAAATCATAGAAGTGGATTTGGAATTGAGACCAAGGTGAGTGCATATTAGTTAGTATATGATGATAGATGGAAATAAGACTTGCGATAAGTATTTCCTATGATAGAATGCATGAATTTATGATTATAAGTATGTAATGATATGATTTATGTGAATGCATTATATGTGTTGGCATGTTCTTGTATGTAATGATATGATTATAAGATATAAGTTATGTGATATAAAATAGTGACAATGAGATATGAGCTATATGAAAATGATTTGAAGTTATATGATTACATGATCACAAGAGATAAGCCATACGATGTGAAATGATATAAAGAGAGTGCCCATGTTAAGTGGTAAGAGAGCTAGAGTATAGTTGGCATCCCAAGTAGGGGTACATAGGTCCTTCGGGACATACACAGGTCCTTCGGGACAAATTCACATGCCCCTAGTGGGACTCTATACGAGCTGTGGTGACATCATATGTGCACAACCTCAATATACTCACATATCTTTAGTTCTCACATGTGTACATGGGCTAATTAAGAGATAACTCTAAATACAATGTATGTAATATATATGATTTATGATATGAATGGTATGACATGATATATATGTGTTATGGGTTTATTGTATTATATTAATATACGTGGTATATGTTAATGTATTTGTGAATGAGTATAAATGAAGTATATGATGATATAAGATATGTATAAGATATATGATATGAATATAAGAGATCATGAACAAGAGATAAGAGTATGAAGGATGATATATGAGTATGATAAAAACATAAATGATGACATGTATGTATGTAAGTATGTATTAGTTACATGAAAAGTATATGAGTGTATGATATTATAGTATAAAATATTCATGCATGGTTAGTGGATATAAGTTAAATTAGATGTGTTGTCATGCTTCACTAAGTCATAGATTTAGCGTGTGATTGTTTCACACGTAGGTTCTAGAAATTGAGAAGAGAAGCTAATTGAAGCAAGACA